CTGAAGTCAATGGGAGTTACCTATTCACTTCAAGAAAAGCAGAACAAATTATATTCCAAACGTTTATTATTCCCCGATAGCCTATCATTTTTGTAGGCTCTTTTGCTACACTGATATTATAAAACTGTTGTTATTTCCTAATATAAATTCTGATTTATTTTGCGAACAACTTCAGTTTTCATGTACCGACTGACAAGTTATGAATGATTGTATAAGCCAGAATAGAATTTTTGGACTTTCTTTATTGATTACAGATATTGCATTATCTAGGCATAAATGAAACCAGAAGAACCTTCTGTGAAAGTTTTTATCCCACTTACTTAATGCTAATGGCATATTCTCCTGACTCTTTGGTCCTGTGCCGCACCAGGTAAGTGCTATTTATTCGGTTAATAAGTTCACTTTCTGCCTGCAATCTTTCCATTGCTCCTGCAAACCTGTAACACAGAACAACAAAAACTGGCCATGATTTTTTTTTTCAACACTATGCAAATAGATCTATCAAATATGCAATGGATGGTCTCAATATTCTGCATGAGATAGTGACCTAAAAATACATCAATTGCAACTGAACTCCATTTTCAAACCCTGAAATAAAAATAAGAAAAAATGAAGGCATTGATGGCAGGAAGAAAGGGAATTTCTAGGCAAAAAGAAGAAATCCTTATTTAGAAAAGTTCTCATGTTTTTATTTCACATTAAGGGAAATACTTATGCCTGAACATTAACTCAATGACCACTGATTTCAACAGCTCATAAATAAAAATGATTTTTCTGAATCAGGGCCTATTCTGAGACTCTATATTAAAGTTGGCTTGAATCATGTTTTAAAAATGAAAGAACAAAACTACAACTTCCTTTTGGCTTTTTATATTGAAACTGAAAATGTGGGCCCTGTCTTACCACAGTATATCCTGCTCCAGGATGCGTGAACCTTCCCAAGCAGAGAATCAGCATCTGACAGTATACTCAGCCAAATACCTTAACTGACACATTAATTTAGCTTTAGTATTTAAACACTTCAGAATTCTCTGTAATGTCTCAAGGCTAAAATGTAATTGCTAGACTGAAATATCAACAAGCCCAAAGACTTATTTCAGCCTAACATGGCCATTTTTGAAAGAATCCATCCTACAGCAGAAAGCTGAGAGGTCACTGATTCTGCAGCACTGCTGCCCGAGCAGATCTGCACCCTGGCGGTGTCGCTGCTCCGCGTGGGGCTGCCTGCAGACAGCTCTACATGAGATAAGAGGCTAAAAGGTTCATTGCGCAGGGTGGGAGAAGTCGCTTCATTTTTACAGGGCTAATCGCATCAAAGAGAATGATTCTGAATGTTTACCACAAAACATGACTCATCCCTGACAAGATCATGTCTGGAGTACTGTGTCCTGTTCTGGGCTCCCCAAAACAAGAGAGACAAGGAGCTACTGCAGTGAGTCCTGTGGCAGGCCACCCTGATGATTATGAGACTGCAGCATTTCTCTTACAAGGAAAGACTGGGAGCTGGGCTGTTCAGAGCGAAGAGAATCTTCTCAGCGTGTGTATGAACCTGAAGGGAGGGTGTCAGGAGGATGGGGCGAGACTCTTCTCTGTGGTGCCCAGGATGAGAGGCAATGGCCACAAACAGAAACACAAGAAGGTCTGCCTGAACATGAGGAAAAACTTGTTTACTCTAAGGGTGACTGAGCACTGGAACAGGTGGCCCAGAGAGGTTGTAGAGCCTCCAACCTTGGAGATATTCAAAAGGCACCTGAACAGAGTCCTGGGCAATGTGCTCCAGGTGACAGTGCTTGAGCAGGGTGGTTGGACTAGATGATCTCCAGAGGTCCCTTCCTGCCTCAACCACTTCATGATTCTGCTTATAGCAAGTTTCAGCCTAAAGTCATTTTTTTACTTAAGAATTACAAGATGTGATTACAGTGATCCCAGTGATAAGCTCTCTACTAACAAAATTATGGACCAAATGCTAGAATTGAATTAAGAATATCAGCCTCAGCTGCTTATTGCGGGGGGAGGGAGGGAGATAAAAAAAAAAAGTTTGTTAAGATATGATTCTGATTTCACTTTCTGCAAACCAGAGATAGTCAGGAATAACATCTAAATGAAGAAGCACAAAACCAGTGATAGAAGAGGAATGATGCTGCTTCTGCTCTCTCAGAATTATCCATAAGACAAAATATATTTTATGCTACTCTTTTGCTTAGTCGCCTGACATGTTAAGATCTACTTGCATGCTTCACATTATACCGAACTCTTATTTTTCCATTTGAGACCTCTGGGATTAACACTGTGTAACTATAGACTTGTAAACAAAATGTCAAAAACATTAAGCACATTATTACATCAGAAATGCTTTTAGGCAATGCACGGTGTTGTTTTCCCAAACCATTACAATGGCTTCTTCAGAAGCCTCGAAAGGTTAAACCAATATAAATTAGATTGCAACACACACTGTTGTCTTTCTATGAGCATTTTTTTTTTCAGAAAGATTATTTTAAGACTACATGAGGACTCACCAGAGCTGGGAAGAGTAGTCTACTGGTTTAGGCACCTGAGGCATGAAAAGACACAACAGAATGATCATCAATATTGGGGGGTGTGGGAGGAAAGAAATCATACAAGCAAGCTAATTCGTTTGGAAGTCTAATTTCTCCTGAATGAATTAAGTGCAAATTTTCCAATTTCTGTTTTCATTTCCAACAACATATAGAATATACTTTTTTGTGTCATGACAGACAAAAATTACAAAACTTGGACCAAGTTTTTTTATTTAATAGAAGTGCAAAATTTATTTTGACAGTGTCCACATTCATTTCAACCATAAAACAGCCTAATGGTACATACCATTAAAATGTATCATCAAAATGTGTAACAAATACATTAAAAATGCACTTCATGTTTCAAGGATTTTATGGCCTTAAAAAGACAGTCTACTAGAAAAAAAAATGCTGCATAAAAATCCCAGTAAAGTTATAGCTAACCCACAGATGGTATTGTAGGGCTTCCTTCATACCTCTGTACTTGTTAGTCATGCACTGTACTTGAATAAGCATGGAATTTGAATCTCAATTTCAATTTTCAAAAAATTGAACTAAGATCAGTTTTTAAAAGAGGCAGTATATGTATACCCAAACATACACATAAAGTAACATTAAGACACGCACACACACAGTATAGTAATCCTTACGAGCATTTTATCTGGACCCTCTCACAGTGGTGCTGAGATACTGAAGTATTACCCTACTCTTCTAATACAAATTAGAAGAGAATTGCAAAGCACTAGGAAAGGGATATTCAGGAAAGCTTAGCATACGTCTTGGAGACTTATAACCTAAGGTCATACATTCTTAAGTCAGCAGATGGCAATGTGTTTTTTTTTTCCTTCCAGTAAAACCAAATAATACCTTCTTATATTCTGGAATCTGTTAGGGAAATCATTATTTTAACATGCCTAAAAATTTTTTATTTATAATATATGAAATGTCTTCAACAGAAGCTTCCAAACACAGACCAATTCAGGAAGATATTGTCATATATACCTAAAAACTTAAATTGATTTAAATGAATTACAAATCCCATTGACTTGTATACTAAATAATGCATGGATAATTATATGGATGACCTCAGGAATCAATTGAGTTCTCAATCAGATCTCTAGATTTCATCTTGAAACAAATTATTGGGGGGGAAAAAACACTACATATGTACCACATATTCTGTATTCTGCAGCTCAAGTAGCAGCAGTCAAACAGAATGAAAGATTTTAGGAGAGCATGTCAAAAATGCTATGGCATATTTGAGCAGTATTGCTGAGCAGTAAGAGGCAGTCTTTGAAGTGTAAGAAGTGGAAGAGGAAGCTACAAGATAAACCAGGATATAATATCTTAGATGACAGTGGACAGTTGAGGAAACACAGAGAGGAACATGGATATTTACAACTAACTGTGCTGGCAACACATAATTCTGCAATCTCCTCATAAAAACACAAGTTGTCTGGAATGCAAAAATACTAAAATCTCAAGTCTCTCAAATTCACACTAAGAAGCCTTAACACTCAAGTTACATACAGCACTTATTTAGAATGCTTCACTAAAAATACTGGCTAAGTATTTACATATATTCGGAGTATTTTTCTCTTGGAAGAGTTTTCAAAAATATAGCAGCTAGGACAGGGGAATAAGTTGGCATCTCTCCTAATTATTCTTTCTACATAGAAGTAAACACAATTGCTCCAGCTTTTGTCACAGGAGAAGGCTTGGGCTAACTAAGTTTACTACAGACCTGACTTCCAGCCCAGCACTGTTAAGATTCATTTTCATGAACCCAAATTTGCAGAGTTCACAATGCCACCTTTGATGTAATAGTCACTCAACACTTACTTTAACGCCTCTTAATTCAAGACACTTAAGAAAAAAGTGTGAATTATACCAAATAGCCCAAAAATTACCCAATAGCCTTCAAATTACATTTTATACAGGATATGTTAGAATGAAACTCATTAAATGACTCCATGATAAAACCTGGGTCACCTAGTGTGCTTCCAAAGTAGAAAGCCCATCCAGATGTTGCGACAGGCCTGCCTGGTTAGGTTAGCCTAACTCTTAGGACGGAAGAAGGAAGAACAGGCAAAGACGCATTTCTCCCCACGCAGCATTTGCAGCGCTCGCGGCGTGCACCCCACCTGGCCACGCAGGAGGCCTAAGAGCCATCGAGGCACTACTGCAGCCTGCCCTCAGGGCCTCTGCCGCTACTGCCAGACTCAGGATAAACGGGGAGCAGAGGACAAACAGGTGAGAATCATCCCATGAGCCCTGTTTTGGTGAAGCTGACCCAATGAACTATCTGAAGGCCCGCTTACAAAAAGTCTTCAAATGACAAGATATTTTACTGATACACATCATCTACAGAAAAAAAAAAAAAAAAAAAAAACCACACCCAAAACACACACACATAGAGGTTCTGCACTGTCATCTCTACAACTAATTAAATAGCATATTATTTTTTATTGGCAGAAGGACATAATAGAATAATTTTTAAAAAGGATTAAAAAAAACCACATATACACAAGCACCCTTACTTTGTCAAGTGGCTTTACTTTGGAAAGGACATGAAAATGGCTTAGCCCATGCCTCAGAGCAGTTAAATCACTGATGATTAGTCATTTCCATTAATTTGGAATGCACCAAGATATACTATGAGCATTGGTCATTGTCAGGAAATAGAGGAAAATCAAATATTTATCCAGAGGCTCTTGATTTGCACTGTGCTATATATCCAATGCCTTCAATAGCAATGAGAAAACCGCAGGAAAGCTAGGAGAAACCAGATATTACTCATCTGGTGCAGAAAATGTCTACTGACATATACTACTTATTGCAAAGAAAAAAAAAATTGTTTATAGGTACAGCTGTGAAAAGTCTGGAATACAGATATTCTGGAGCTCAGCAGTTTTTCATTCAATATTCATTCCTAAAGTCTTTTGATATATGTATTTTATGCTGTTTCTGGGCATTTTTATATCAGCTGGTTGTAAAGACTGTTACACTTAATAACAATAATAAAAGTTAGAGCATGTTAAAAATCTGATTGATGTTTCAGTATCTTTATCTGCATCATTTGTCATAATAAGATGTTTATATTTCATCCTTCCAAGTTAACAGTGTCAAAGCATCCATTTATCTTTCTCATCTGACCATGACAGTGGTTGCTAACATTTCATGAATAATATTTATTTATTCTGTAAAAATGTGTTATTTTCAATCCTCCTCTCATGAGCCTATTTCTAAATTTAGCCAAAGGCAATCTTCACAGCACCCAAGGAGTGTTTTTCCTAACTATGAATATCCTGCTTCCTCTGGTTTAAAGTATGGAGGTGATTCCTCAACTAACTTTTCCCTTTGTCAAGAGTGTCATTATATTTGTAGCATGTTCTAAAGCTTCTGTCAGTGATATCACAGACTGACGAACTGCAGGGCCTCAAGGACTCAAAGCTAACTAATCTACAAATACTGCCCATATTCCTCACCACTGGCAAGTGCTACTATGGTGCAGGGGAATCCACTGCTTTTACACTTTAAACAACAGGAGAAAAAGTTAAGTTCATGAAGCACCTTGGTCTTTGTTACAGATCTGTTCTGTTCTGTCACCCAGTTTAGCGCACCCTGCATCCACAAAAATCCTACTCATCCCTCTTCAAACAAAATCCTGAAGCTGTAGAATAGTAAAGGCAAAATTAACCACTCAAGTTTTTAATGTATTTATCTATTAGGAGCATATGTATATTTGTTTTACAAGGAACAAAAAAAGCCTTATAGGCATATCAAAATGTAGGCATTAATAACTGATTCCATCTCCTTACAATCCATTTCGTGGTGTCTTGATTGTTGTAATGAAAGCAATTGTGCTAATAAGTCTAACTCTGTTGTAAATTAAGCTAAAGAGTTCTTAAAGCAAACTAAGGAGTGTGATTCATCACTGCATTATTATGGGTTTACATCAATTAATCTCAATGAAAGAAGATATGATAATCTGATGCACAGTGTTACAAAGAGCAGAAAATAAAGGAGTGTGCAGTATTTAAATTAATGCATTCACCTCTGTATACAAAACTCATAAGTACATATTATCAATTAATCTTTCTTATTGTTATCCTGAATTAATCTGGATTGAGAACAACCTTGAATGAAATAAAGGCAGGTGAATAACTTAGAGACAAGGAAATTTATCGACCAATCTGGATGTAAGGTTTTCTTTTAGTTTTACTCTTTCACATTTTAAACTCTGTTTACAGTGTAATCTCTCTCTCTAACTCAAAGTGACTGAGCAACAGATTAGAACTGCAGCTTTTCACTTGACTGCTGGGGAGAAAGAAAGTGTACTTTCATATAAAATATGTTTGCTCTATATTCTGCAAACTCATTAGACAATTATGTTTATTAATATTCCCAAAAGTTAAAACCTGCCTCTTGAATGTTTTCCTGACATGTACAATTTGAATCCAATAACCAAAAGCACTAGAATGCAGTATTTTAAGCAATATTAAACTTACCATGAAAACACAAAGGAACTAGAAACAATATGATTCCCATGAGGTAAGAATAATAAAACCCTGGCATAAACCAGGCAATTTTCCTGTAAGATGACAAACAGAATTAAACACTTGTACTTACACATGGGCTAGGTTTTACAGCATCACTTGGGAAGAAGCCAAGCTCTCCTGTCGTTAGATTTCTGCCCTGGAGAAAAACAAAATTTCCCATTTTGAGACATAATGGGGATAAATAGTAGGCAGTGCTATGTCACAGGATTTTAGAACTATAGGTGTATATCAAAAGAGTCCTTAAAGTATTATTCTGGTAAAATGTAATTTAGCAGTACTTTTAAAATTTATATCAATAATAATGATAGCTGATACACTTGAGTGCTCTGAGAAAGGGGACGCAAGTTCTGCACAGGGATGCAAATCACCACGAAGTGGGTACCACACAAACAGCAGAGTTCAGGATCTGCTCTCAGGCTACCAAACCACCCCTCCTAGCACATGCGCTCATCAAACTTGGTGTTTTGGCATCCAAACGTTGCCATTTTTCAGCTTTTCCAAAGCACCTACGTGCTTACTCTGCCTGTAAATATAATAGACTACCAGTGTACTTGGCAATAACTGCAAGAAAGAGCATTTACTCAGCATCATAATCTTGAGAGTGACATTTACTTTTATTTCTGACCACATACTTGCAACATAAAAAAATTAAAAGGGAAGAGATGCTTCATGAACACACATGCAATTTCTTGTTTTAATTCATTCTTTGCTGTAATACCGAATGTGTAATTGCACCCTCATACTAACACGCAAAACAGAATTCAGCAATTTCAAATAGGGCAGAGTTGAACATAAAAAGTAAAAGAAGGAAGAATCCATGAGCAATTGAGAAAACTCTTCAAGTGTGGTGCCCTACCCACATTGAACAAGTCTGTTATTTTCCTAGGGAGGTCATATGCAACTTATCATGCAGAGCAATGCTTAAAGTGCAGAGGAAGGAGAGGAGACAGAAAAGCACTTGTAAGCAGTGCTTAAGGTATAATATGCCAAAATAAAAACAAGTCCATGCAAACAAGTGAGAGTCTTGCATAACTGAACCCATATTAGCTAAGCTTATTTTTCCTTCTTTCCCACTGCCTACCTGAATATAGGTTGCACACTGTGTGCTTTTATTCTGGTTGGTCCCCTAGTGTGAATTCCTCTGAATTACATGCTTTATTTACAAGCAAAGTTCAGACAGTCTCCTGGCTAAATGACCCTTATTTACTACACTGAATCCTATCTGAACAGCAAGTCATGATCCAGGCAATGCAACCAAGCACTGAATAAAATATATTAATGAAAAAGAGCATTTGAAGAAGCACAATTAAAGAGCATTAACTTTCTGTGTGCCCCCACACAATCGTTCTTCATGAGAAAAATGTATATAAGTAAGAGAAGCTCCACAAGATGACACATCAGGCAACATAGGTCCATGACAATTAGAAAGGAAGCAAGGATTAAAACTTGATGAGCTCAGGGACAGCTCCTTTCATCACCATCTGACAGAGCAAAGAAGAACATCATTTCAAACGTGTATCACAGCACAGGCTCCATCAGATCAGGAAAGCAGACTAGAAAGAACATTATGGAGTGAGTGCAGCACATCCAGCAGCACCAGGCCAAGGACAGCAGGATAGAAACCCAGCACTGCCGCAATGGGCTGAAAACCCAGCGGTGTAGCAGAGATCATGAGATTAGCTGGGCTCCACGTCTATTAAACCATTACCACGGCACAGATGTTGTGATGCTGACACGTTCAACGTGCAGCACGTGCAAGCCCTACGCTGTAGAGTGCTCTCACTCCAAGCAGGTAACAAGTCGATGGCACTTGTAGCACGAAAGTCAGCAGGATGACACCAACCAGGTATTGCAAGGAAAACCAGAGCAAAGCTCAGTCAGTGGACAGCCTTACACGAGAGCTACAGCATACAAAATGGTCTCCTCAATTAAGATTATCAAGGAACTTTCGCACAAGCAAGTACCTCACCATCTACTTAGATGTCACTACCTGTCTGAAGATGCTCCTCAGTGCAGCTGTCTTGGCTGAGCTATGCATGACAGATACAGACAGCATAAGCAAGAGCAGCAGTAAAGAAGAGTCGCAGGGGCAGATGATCTCTTGAGCAGGTCATGCCAAACATCACTGCCTTCAGAGGTACCCAATCCCACAAGTACAGGGAGAGCGCAAAACTTTGTCATTGCATCTTGAATAACACCACAAATATAACAACTCAAAGAAAGGCTTGGCCTTCTAAAGAAAACCTGTACAGGCATTAGACAGCTATGGGGACATTTAATCTTTGTTTTTGAAATAAACCTCAACCACTAACTGGAGCAGATCTTTATTTATTATACATTGCTGAAGGAAATTGCTCACTCTCAAACGCTGCTAAATTTACCAAGGGCCAGTGTCATTCCTACGTGAAATTGTGACCCTGCTGTCAGATGATTTCAGAATTGAAAATCTATCCATCAACTAAACCTGATTAACAGCAAAATTATCATGCTGCCACACTTTGCTTCTAATCAGTTGTTTCTGCTTTACGTTTTCTGCTTGCTAATTGCCTATCACTCGATGACTAAGCATTTCACTTCCCTCCAGCATGTCTCTGTAATGACTTAAGGCCATTATAAAAGCAGAAGTAAAGGACTGGAGAGAATTCTTTAAAGGCACTTTAAAAATACTTGATTATTACACTTTATTGCTATAAACTCTGTTATATATATATATATATATATATCTCAGTGTGTGTATATAGAGTGTGTGGGTGCACACATGCATATTTTATACACACACAAATATACACACATACACAGAGGCCAGTGAAGCCCTTCAATCCGTTTCTTTCAAGTGCACCTTCAAGCAAGACTAGACACTGATTCATTACTCCTGCAGTTGTTTTAAGGTCAGAGGTTTTCTGAAGCCATTTTGCAGTTTTGATCTGAGTTTTCAGGCTGCTGCCAGCTTTTTAGCTAATGCCATTCCCACTAAGTTCAGCGGGCACAGCAAAGCACTGGCATAGCTTTAAAAAAAAAAATCTAACACATAAATAATTTTATCTACGTCTGTGACACTCACACCTTCATCTCACATTGAGGGGCTCAGGGCACGAATATTCTACACTGAATGCATCTGTATAAATCCTGGGTTACTTAAATGACAGGAAAGAAAAACCCGAGAGCCTTTGCTGGAAAAGTCCTGACTGCTGCTGCAAGGGACACGGGAGACATCTGAATGCTGAAGACAGCCTGACCCAGGTTTATTAAGGGATCCATGAATAACCCTTAATGAGAAATGTGGAATGACACCTGCAGGTGGAGAGGGACCTGGGCTGGAATAGGAATGCGAGCTGCTACGTACGTATGCAAGACACGGCTGCACAGCCAGCACTGAAGTGTCCCCATGACTAAAGAGAAACGCTGTGCAGGACAGGTCACACCGGCCTGACACGCATGCAACCTGCCAAAACACTCGCTCCTCAACAAATGCAGACTTCTGCTAGTCAGGAGAAGGCTTTACTCTGAAACCCTTGAAGATGAGATTTTTAGATCAACTAAAAGGTGAGGAGCGTTTTAATGCACACTGAAAATCTTAGCCCAATGTACTGCCTTCACATTACTCTGTCTGGAAGTATTAAAATGATCCAGGCTTCTGTTAATGATCTGATACATCCTGCAGAGCTGCACGGTAATTACTCATGGAACTGTACAGCATGAATGAAATAGGTTAAAACATCAGGAAACTTTCTCAGTATATTCTAGTAATATGCAGAATTTTAACAACAAATTCAGAAAAAAAAACACCACTATTTTTTCAATAGAAGTAACTGAAAGTTCTCATTTCAAAAACATTATCCTTAACCAATGGAAAAAACGCTCAGCTAACTAGGACAAAAGCAGTTTCCAGGCCTAATTCAGGCTTACCCTCTATCAAATTCCCTTCAGTTGAATTCAAGACAAAGTAGAATTGCTCTGCAAGAGGCTTAGCAACATCCATCCAACTGCTGCTCCTTTATGGAAAATGTACTGAGCAGGTAAACATGGTAAATAAAGGAAAATCCATGCAACCTACTCGTGTGAGGTCTTGGTACCACTCAAGGACCTGCATTCGTAAGAGCAATCCTCTATCTGCCTAATCCTGAAGGAGTCTCAACCTCCTGGGACAGGATTTGAGACTCGGATACACACTGGTATTTTCTGATGTAGAAGTGGGGCTCTTGACTCTTCCATCCTTTTCCCATTCTTCCTTTTTTTTTTTTTTTTTCTCTTTAATTCGGTGACTGCAACATTTAAAACGTTTAGCTAGGAACCATGCTTCAGGCCTCCCTCCTCCCTGCTCACAGCTACTCGCCCGTGCCAAGCTGACCTGCCTCTGGACAGCGGTGTCTGCAGAACAACAGCCCCTATGAGCTGGCTCTGAGCTGCTCCTCTTAAAGCACAGTCTGGATCAGCATTGAAAAGATTAGCTCTTTCCAGTATTCTATACGGGAGCTCTTTCCATGTTTTCAAGATATCAGCTGACTGTATCAATGTCTTAAATTAAATACTATGGTTTTTGCTTGACGCAGTTGTATAAGGACATCAGATTCAGATTTCCCTCTGTTAGGGTGCACTGTACATTAATACCCAGATTTCTGCAAAATTCTTCCCATATGAGCATTATTACACTCAATATTTGTATGGAAAAGATAAAAATGATCTCATGCTAGTACCACTCGACACATTCTAACTTTTTCCTCGCAGCACCCTGTCACAGCAGCATTCTGCATTGTCTCAGTGGGTTGTCCTTACATAGCAACAGAGAAAAAATGAGTTCTCTCCCCAGATACAAGTTCCAATTTTATAAGTATGTTGTAAGTATACCCAGGATAATGTCCTTTGGATGTTGACTGTGGGACCACTAACAAGTGAAGCATTAGCAAGGACACCTATAACAGCAATTACTTGATATGGGTTTGGTCTGTATCAAATAAAAGTTGGTTTAGAGAAGGAAAGAAAAAAGAAACAGCCCAGAAAAATCTGTATTCCTTCGGTGTACTTCAAAATCATGATTGCCTGGAGGACAGTGGGTAATTGCAATGGAAACCTGTAAAACTAGAATTACATTATATCTTATGGTATGCATTGTGGCACCCCAAAAGCCTACCCTCAGGTTAAGTAAGTACCAATTTACTCAGACCAAACTCAGCAGAGGAGAAAAAATATTCCCATCTATAATAAAAATCAGCCTACTTCAAAAGTGCACTATTGCAGCTGAAACAACCAGCAGTGCTCTGGCTCACGGTCTGAAATTTCCATTTAAAACACCAAGTTTTTGCTCTCCCTCCTCCCCTTCTCATTCAATTAGCTCTGCACGGAAGGCTACAGGAGCAGCAGCTCGGCAAGCAGCCCAGCTCACCTCTGCCTGAGCAAAGAAAAGCAGCCGCGCAAAGCGGGAAGAGCAGCTTAAGACTCTCCTCCTTTTTACACACAGCCAGGTAGTTACAGAAAACTGCAGGTTAACTTGGGGCAGTACTGAGCCCCTTGTTTCCCAAGTTCTCTCTGAAGAAAGCTGAGGGTTTGGATGATAGCAGGTGCCACAGACAAACCAGAAAGAATAGAGCAGGGCTTCTTCGGCCACCTCACTCACTGCAACAGCTCAGTTGGTCTCTGCAAACAGGACTTGCTGTTTCATAACAGGATGTCTGTGGGGAGGCAGGGAAGACCGCCCAAAAAAAACTCTAATTTCTGCTTTCCAGACTGCGTAACAAGAGGATTTATGTGTGTATACAGTGGTATAAACCATCTACCGAATTCACCATAATAATTTCTATGCAACCAATCACGCAAACATTATCTTAACAGAATTTTAATGTTTATCTAAACACATTTATCCAACCTAAGATATTTTTTAAGGTAGGCATTACTTGATAATTTGTGGCTTTTATTTGATGTATATCATAAAGAAGGAAAAAATCTTTAAACCAGAAATACTTGTTAAGATTACCTTACACCAAAAACTACCTGTTAACAGCATCTGAATTTCTAAACTGAGGGATAGTCATTTTTACAGTCCATTCTAACATAATTCTCCTTCTGGTCAGCTATGAAATGCTTCATAACCCCTCTTGACTAAATCTTAGAGTTTTCAATAAAAGTCTGTTTTGCAGCCATTTCATAGTTCATATTACAAAATGTCATTACACGACTCCTGACAACCCCCACAGAGGGGTCTGCAACAAGGCAGGCTGTGAGAAAAAAAAAAAAAAAAAAGCCCAGAAGATGCTAATAGAGACAATAATTTGCATTGCACAAGTAGATTCTAGCTAAATGCCTAACCATAAGTACAAATAACATCCAAAACACATTCCAGTAGATGGAAAAACATCAAATTTTCCATTATAAATATCAACAATTTGAAGAGGACTACCAAGATATCCCTAGCTTTTCCTCTATTAATACTCTAATATCTAATAAAATATCTGATTTTTTCATTTTGCTCTATCTTAACTACCCAATAATATTAGTAGCAGACAGCATTCTAGAAGGAAAAAGTTGGGAAATATAATCAAGGAAAACAAGACATATTCATATACCTATCTTTAAAATAAATGTTGAACTGTTAGCATTTTTAATCTGCTTTTTATAAAGGTGTCAAATTAGAAAAGAAGTTTCAGTGACATTAGCAGTGAACTGAATCATGTAATTTTCTATGAAAACAACTTATGTTGCCATCAAAACATTCCCCCTTCTTCTGTACACAAGCCCTTAGTTGACTTGAGATCTTACCAAAAAGGTAAATGCCGCTCCATTTTGCACATCTTTCTCTTCCCTAAAAGTTTACTATTCACATTTGAATTGAAATATTTTGTTTTGCTAGCAGAGCTTTCAGTTCTGCTACACAGGAAAAGCAGTGACTGAAATTCCCAGATCTGTGTGGCTTCTGTGACAAATTCTTTCTTCACTCCTATAATTTCAATAGCAGGATCGCTCCCAATGCCACGTTCCTGCAGGTTTATTCAGCAAGACTTCTAGGTCAATAGAATTGCAAGACTGAGGCTTTAAACAATATGGGTACTGCTACTGGCACTTGAGAAGTGAAAATAGTTGTATTGGTCATTTATTTTCAGTAGAACACATTAAAGGTTTTGTTGTTGTTCAATATGAAAAAAAACCTACACCAACAATAAATCAATAAGAATTTAATAGCTGGAAAAAAAGTAATATGGCCATTTGCTAAATTCTACAGTACCTGCCAAAATAAGCTATGTGCATCTCCTTGGATGAGTTCAATAGTGTCCCCAACCTGGATGTGCAAAGGCGGGCCGTCCTGTGACGCTGGCTGCGGGATCCCGTCGTAGTTGCGAATGACTTGCATTTTTGGTAAACCTGACCAAGGAAAACAACAACAACAGATTTTATTTAATGACATGTAATTTTAGTTAACGAAGAATTTCCTTGGCTTTAGATTAGCATTACCCAAAAGTCTATTGCTATGTGAACATGACCAAGAGAACAAGACACTGGTCCTTCTTGGCTTCTAATAAGACTTGTTCTCATTTTCAGTTTTTGCTAATAATTTTTGAATATACCTAGTAAGCCAGGATGCAGTTTAATGTTTCATTTTCAAGACAAGAACTCTGTTTGCACTCTGCTCCTTCCACATCAACACTGGCTGCACACTAACAGCTGAACTATGTCCCCCACACACCTCTTCCTAATTAAATGGAGCAATTCACCTCCTGGAGGCACAAAATACTTCCCTCAAAGATTATTCTTACTGCCTGTACAAAGAACTAAATCACTGTTTATAACTAGAGCTCAGGAGCTCCCCTCAATACTTCTCAAATACAGCAGTGGGAAGAAGAGAAAATGAGTCCTTTATCTCTGTATTCTGATCAGCATAATGGTATTTTTCAAAAAGAATTTGAAGTATTCTGGACAACTCATTTATAACACTAAAGGTGTGCTGCAGCATTACAGAAACACTTAAAATCAAGCAAAGAACTACCACAATCTACCATAGTAAAGAGTTAAAATTTCATCTTCACTCTCTATTTCGCTTGCCACTGCCGCCCTTTCTTTCACACTTTATATAACAATTCTCTTGTTTTAACTGCACATAGGATGGTTGCTATTATTAATTGGGCATGTCCATTCTATAATTTAATCACACAGTTTTGGATTAAATAAGCTTTTGTGAGAATTGGAAAGAAATAATAGCGAAAGAACGCAAACTAAGGTAGCTGCCACACTTAACTGCTTTGCTGCTGCAGAGTAATTTTGCATGGCCAAAATTACTGCCAACACAAAGGACCAGCAGGCCAACAACAAACCTTCTGCTTCTACCACAAGATTACAACATAGGCAGCAAGAAATACAGATATTCACCACCTCCACTAAGTTTCATAAAACATGAAAGCAGCCTGCAATAACAATTATTCGCAGTACTTAACAATAAACACTAATCCATAACACTGATGAAATATTAAACAAAATATTACCAGCTCTGTATGCTACTCAGCCCAAAAAACACAATATTTTTTATTATTTCTTCACACTATCTAGCACACAATACACACACTAATTATTAGAAAGCTATTATTTCACTTAGGCAAAACACTGGAGCTTGCTTTATTTCTCAACTTATTAAGGCTGCTTTGCTTTCAAATACTGACTCAGCATCTGCATCTACTGCGTGGCCGAGAGAAGCAACATTCCACATGATCATCTGCACAAGCTGGAAACTTGGGCCTAATGCAAGAACAGTCCCATGCTGCAATACAAGCAATGGCTCTGCATATATGGTCATCTGCAAACTTGCTGCCTCCAGCTTTGAGGCATACTTGGAAAGCTAAACAAAAGTATAGAAGAAATTATTTGCTTCACAAAATGTTACATTGGGATTTTAGAGTATATCACATTTCAGCATGTGGATACAATATACTTAAAATGCCATCTTTGTAATGAATCCATGAGATCACAGTCAAGAAATAATCCCATATTTTTTTTTGGTATAAATCCTGTTGTGTTAAAAACATGAAAGTATATTTCTCAAATGATCAAATTAATCATTTACATTTCTAAAATGACTTTCAATTTTTATTTCACTGGTAGTTAGGAATATCGACAGCTCTGAAAATCAGGCCAATTGGAAAAAAAAAAAGTCATGCTGTGCCAACTAACAGAATTACTAAACAGGTAAAAGGATTTCTTGTGTTAAAACCTATCATGCCTAGAATACTTGTGTATAATTCAATATGCTTAATTCTGTCAAGTTAAAATCCTATAGAGATTTTGATTATAAAATTCCCTTTGCGGATACAATGTTAGAGGATTTGATCTAACAACTCTTGACATCACTGGAAATAATCCTATTCATTTAAGCAGGCTTTGAGTCAGGGTCTTAGTCTTTAGAGTTTATTATCTTGCTTCAGATCCCTTCTTAAAAGTCCCCTGGCAAAACGCCCGCAGACACTGTGCTGGTTCCGGGGCTGCTGCTGCACCACAGCTGCTCTGCGCTGCGCTGACCAGCAGGTCTTACTTTTCTGCAGGGCTTTTCTAGATTTCTTGAAGCCAAGGGCTGTCCCTGGTCTGCTCTAGGGTCCGCAGCGCTTTTACTGTGCACACACTGCTTAGCGCAACGCCTCAACACCAGCACCAGGTATATACAAATTCATACCTGGAATAAATGGGATATGTGCTAGGATTCCTACATGCTGCAGTGATTAAAAAAATAAATGAATTACCTGGCAGATTGTCTGAATGAAGATTTTACAGGAGCTATTAGGAGTAAGGGATGCCTTATTCCAACAAGGCAACAAGGGTTAAGGCACCCTCCAGCAAGGGGAGCACCAGGCACATAGGAGAGTCACTTCAGCCCCAGGAGTTACTGACAGGCAAACACAGCCTGTACTGACCGCAGCACTGAATGTGCAGCTAATGCCATTAACTCCTCACATGAAAACACCTGTGGAAGGAGCTGCCCCTGCCCCTTCATTTTAAACATTAAATACAACTCAAAATATCCAGAAACAGAAGACTACAGGAAGTCTTTGAATTAATTAGAAACAATCTTGCGCTATTGCAGAGGAGCTGTTCTTTCATCTATAAAGTTCTCCTCACACAACTCACCTTATACCATTATCAAGTGTGGAAGAAATAAACGGGATGCAGAAAAGGCAAAGCACAGAGGCAAATGGTCAAAGAATTCAGTACAGAACATTTAAATTGCTTTTCATCGTATAATTATAGATTTGATAACAGCATCTCAGAAGCAGTTTTAGCAGGTTAACACTGAAAGGACACACACTTAATTGGATGGAAAGCGTGCAGCCCATCACCTCCTAACCCAGCCTTGGTGCAGGTCAGGTCCCATTTGCTGTTCCCCAGGGACAGCTCACACAGCTCCCCTGCCAGTCAGCTTACCCGAAAACTGCTTTGGTTGGTGGTCCCTACCGCTTGTTTCAGAAGGCTGACCCAGAACTTGATTTTTGAAGCATTGAAAAATCTTCCCATTTCCAGCATAAATTTGTTCGGGGCCAGTTTATACCCATTTGCCATAGCGCCAACAGTGCCTTTTAGTCTGAAAAATTCTTCTCCTCGCCTGCATTTATGTTCATAATGCAGTTATGGAGCAATCAGATCCCTTTTAACCTTCATTTTGCTAGGCTAAACAAGCCACGTTCTTTTAGTCTCCTCTTGCAGCAGATCAATTCCTCTGAGGCGGCAGAGCAAACACCACACTCAGACAGGCAAGACCTAGAAAATTTTCCCTGCCTGTCTTCAAATTTCATCCTTAATTTGCACACAGATTCATCACAGATGTACTCAATAACCATCCTGAGGACTCTCTGTAATACAAGAAAATGGGAGAAAACCAGTGCATCACAGAAACCTCAACAATTTTCAGTCTAATTATGGGTTATATGTAATAGAAACGGCACAGAAACATTAAGCATTAAGAACTGCATACGAAATACAATGGACATTATAGATATTGCCATTATGAGGAACATAGCTGCATTACTCGGAATATTTGACAACTGCAAAAAAAAAAAGGCTAGAAACATCTGGCATGAGAAAATCTATTCACAAATAATTTTAAAAGCAGAAAAGATTCCAACAAAAACAATAAGGCATGGCTGAATCCTGACTTCATCAAAATAAGTGGCAAAAGTCCCACTGACTTCCAGGGAGTCTCATTCCACTGCACATGACTAAAAGCTTTTAGCAGGAAATTTGCTAATTTGAAGACACAAAACTAGCTTGGCAGCTTCTGACCTTGAAATCAAAAAGCAGCAAAGTGGCCCAGTTACTCCATCAAAGAGCAGCTGAAATTTTCTTGACAACCAGAACAACCCCCAGACTTTCAGAGGAGTCTCCATGGCCGAGCTCTGGTCACAGAGTGACGATGTGAAGGGCAGCTTGGGGTGAAAGCAGAAAGCTGGCTAGAGCTTCGCCTTATAAAGCTCCAATCTGGTGGTGTTATGGAAAAATATTTTTTGCAACAAGTATGATGCATGCCCTATTATAACCTATATCTGTCAAAATTGACTCCAGCATCTGTTATTCTCAAATAACCCCAAATTGGGTTTATGCTTCAGGCAGAGATCATTTTAACATACAGAATAATGACACAGATTATAGGAAACAGAGGTGTAAGGGTGATTTTTTGGATATACTGTATGCTACTAGCCTAAAGACATAAAATAACTTGGTCTGCACTGAGCATCCAAACCTAGTTAGCACCAGTCTTGAAGGATAGGAAAAAGTCTCACCACCAAATATTTATAACCTGATCCAAAAAAACACTCAAGTAATGAGACGTGAACAGACCTGGAATCCAACCTACAATATTAGGCTGACACAACATGACGGCATTTTGATGTTTCCAGGATCCTGCCAGTTACATTTGCTGTTCTTACAACAAACGACAGGGAGTTTCGCTAATTCTCTCCTTCCTTTCCCCAGAAAGGGAATGCCGGGGTGCTCTCTCAACTCTCTGAACTAGCTCTAAATTTTTGTCCCTTATATTTTTGTGGCTTTAAATACAGGGTAGGCCAAAAAGGGGATCTCATAGTTACAGAAAGTAAACAAACCCTAACTTCAAAATTTGCACTGCAGTAAGTAAATTCAGACTGTTTCAGGTTTCAGGTCAAGGAGAGTATAACTGCAGGTAATAGCACCAACTAACTGCTCATTCTAATGTCAGCTTTGCCACCTCTTTTGCCAACCTCCTAGTCCAGTAAAAATAATAATTACTAGTTAGAGGGAAATTCTCTGCTGAGCACAAAGGAGTTCATCCTATGAGTGTTCTTCAAATCAGGTGTTTGAAACTCCTGCTTCTAGTGTTTTTTTGCCAAAGTATCGGCGAACTGGATTCATCTGTCTTGCAATTTTGACAAGAACAGCTTCTTGATCCCTAACCTGTGTCTATCTCTGGAGCCCAGGGGAAGAGAAGAGCTCTGCACTGTGGCTGCCATAAGGAAAATGTGCTCAGAAGGACTTAGCTGGTGACCCAAGCTCCGTAGCTGGAGACCCACAAAAAGCACCATCACAATCTTGGCATTTACTTTCACTCTGTGAAGCTGCCTATTAACAAAGGGAAAGAAAACTTTTTTTTTTTTTTTTTCCTGACACAGAAATTAAAGAGCTCATGTACTTGAAACATGCCGACACAGTCCTTCCAGCACACTCTTCACAGTGGCAATGATTTAAATAATTATTAGACAAAATTATTAAATTGGAAAAGTACATGCTTTTGTACTCATTGTTTTTGTATGGCATCATTAATCAAAAGCTCTAATCTTACACATTGCACATAAACTATAGAGCCAGGCAGGATGACTGAAATGCTGAGAGGGACTAAGAATCAGTTTTGAATCTCCCTTTTTTGTTTGACTTCTGACAAACTGTTTGTCTTTGATTACTATTCAATAAAGACCCAGGGGTTTTCATGTGACTAAACATAATTCCTGAATTTGCTGTTTGAGTCAAACTTCAGTCAATGACTTTGAGAAGGCTGATATTTAAAATATTTAATAATGCGCTTTCCTCAATTAACTTTTTAAATTTCTGCTCATTGTGTTTATATAGAGTAGCCCTATCAGGACTGATTTTCATAAACAGAGAACTCCAGCACAGTACCAGGGAGAGAAAAAAAAATAAATACAACTCTTTATAAATAAATAAATAAATAACCTTCACTATCTCAATTGGCCAAAATTCAGGTGATAAACATACAAGGTACTCCAAACACCACCTGAGAAACATTTACATTTCTCATCCCCCTCCACAAATGTAGAAAAAGTCCAGAGTGTCATCCTATGGGACAAGCAAGTCTACTGGAGAAATTAAATTTCTTTCCAGTCCTAATCCTGTTCACTGTGACTGCTCTCCCTCAACTTTTCCTACTGCTAAAACTCCTTAAAAAAGTATTTTTTGAGGCAACACACTCACTTCCCCTCCACTTCCAGAGCTGACAAATCCTGGTTTCTCGTAATTTTTCAAAGAGTCATTTTTTCCAACGTTTCTCTTTACTGCTGTATATGTAAGTTGTATTCTTGGCAGAGACCTCTACAAAAATGGTCAACCATCAAGTAAAATATGATGTGTGGGAGAAAGAATCTGTCTACCACCTGCATGACCAACAGTTGCATCATCAGAAATGAGAAAAGACTGCAACTCGGTCCTGCTTCCCTGGGCTTTGCAGAGCTGATCGTTACCAAAAGGCCTATGGTATGTAGCTGTATCTCCATTTGCCAGGTAAAATCTGCACAAACTCGGAAAAGCAACATAGATAAGTTTATTACATGGAAAATAAACCAATCTTGGTTACTCCGTTTACACACCTGGATTTTGGAAACTGTGCAACATGAAAGATATTGCTACACAGAATTTTTACTTTACAATAGCTTTAACACACAGCAACAAACGGACACCTTATCCCAACTCTTCCCCACTGTGACCGTCACCCTGTCAGACGTTAGCCCAAATGTTTTGTACAGCAGGGATTTCTTAGGATGACTCACTCTATATGAGCTCTTCAGTGGCAATATGAGCAGCATTAGCAATAGTAGTAGCAGAGGAACAGCTGCCAGGCCCCGCTGCGGAGCCACCTTTCAGCAGCAATGTTAATTTTTCAGCCTTTCCAAGTCAAGCCTAAAAATAATGCTTAGTGCTCTATAAATTTGACTAACATCTACCCTGATCAGAAATGAGCGATTTAGCTAAGTAAATTTAAAATCCAAACTGATTTAACAGCATTTAATGTTCAACTTAGAAAAATAACAACAACAGAAGTACTAACTCCTAAAGCAGGGACATTTATCAGACAATTTTTAGGAATATGGAAGCTCAGAGCTTGCCTCTGTGCAAGAAAGGCAGACACTGCAGAATAACCATGGTTTTAAAATCAAGCAGAAAGCCATAAGGGCTGCCTTTTGGGGAAGGAATGAACCTTTCATTATTTAGATGACCATTTGTCTTGCAGACCCTTAAGGATGGTTCTGCTCACAACTCACTCAGATTCATCCTTCAGAGATATTTAAGTGACTTTTGTTTCCCTCCATACAAGAAAAAAATTGCAAAGGTTTTGGGAATACAGGGAGAAAAAGTTATGATAGAGCAAAAACAATTTGAAGAATTAGATCCTACACTGCAAAAAGAACATACATATAAATGCCAAACCATTTCTGCTTGCACAGCAAACATTTTTGGAAGCTGTTCTGGGCAACACTCAATCCTCTCTTAAAACACATACTTGTATTTTGTTTTCTATGTCCACATGTAAGTACAGCAAGAAAGGGTCATATTTTCAGAAAGGTCAAGCACCCAAGAGCTGCCTGCTAGCACCAGCTGTACTTGTCAGCCCTGTACTCATCAAAACCTGGACATGCCTCCGATGGATAAAAGGGCATTGTAAATAATTTTTTTAAAATAACTGAAATTTTATGTGTAATTGCAACATAATTTCTTTCTTACACTCAGAAACTGGTACTCAGAATTTACAACTCAGACTCACGCCATTTTCCTACCTCAAAAAAGCAGACAACCAGAACTGCATTGATGAAAGGGGCAGACACCTAGGAAAATCACTGATTTTTGTAATGGTAACATCCCTAAGCGTTGTGATAATTTGGAGCAGAAGTTTATTTTCTTCAGTGACAAACTTCAGTTTCCTTTTCACAGCATTTTTCCTACAAAAAATGTGTTAAGGGCTCGTATTACGTTTTGTGTTAACTATAATGCAGAACACTTAACTCAAGCAACTAGTCCTTATTTTAAATGATAGGAGCAAATATCTTTGAGGAGTAAGGAATTTTGGACTTGCCTGTATTGAGAAGAATCTCAGCACTTTGAAGAAATGCTCGAAATGGCCTAGTGCTTAAAGTGTATATGAATAAGAATAATCGCATTTCAAAAATGAAACTGCTTCCATTTGCAGTGCTAAAATAGTGAAATTTCAATATTTCAGTGCAGTCGAAATGACAAGTGAATTAAGGATATAAATTTTAAAAATAATGTTGCCTGGAAATTAAAGCACTTCATTATTTAGCTAA